TTTTCATATATTGTTTTTAACACTAACTTTTTTTGTGTGTGAACCAATATATTTGCTGCCGGTGTTACACCTGTATTCCCCCCTGTGGGGGACAATAAAGGCTGCTTCTATTCTATTCTATTCCATATTTGTGGAAGTGGAAACCGCTCACCCAAACTTTCAGGAAGTAGGTCCTAGAAAAATGGGCCATGTGTTTGTGTTCACCTTCTTTTACTGCTACGCTAAATACAACCATCAGGGCACACAGCAGACACACAGAGGAAGGTGTTTTAGTCTGATGAGTAACTTTTTTGGCCCACAAATAAAACCCTATGTGTGGGAGGAAACAAATGATGCACATCACCATGTAAACACCATCCACTTGGTGAAACATGGTGGCAACATCACGTTATGCTGGTGTTTTTTTTTCAGCGCACGAGAAAGAAGACATTCAAAGAATCACCTTTGTAGTACTAAAATGCCTCAGAGATACACTATTGTAATTTTGGGTGCAGATTCAGCTAAGGAACGAGACTGCTGGTAGAGAAGTGCCTAATGGGCCAGGATCTTTGCAAAGGTGTCTGTTATGTGAAGACACAACATTGAGATTAAGAGACTTTTCCCCCCAAATGATTCTTGTGGATGATTAAGGTGGCACAACCCCCCTCACCCCCATAATAACTGTTTATAAATCAGTGCAAAAGCTGCCAAAGTCCAAAAATAACTTTTGACACGTCCTAAAAAGTATGTCTAGCAGCTTGAAAGCAAATGGCAAAGAAACAGAGAGAGAATCGAGACTTTTGCACAGTACCACAGCTCCGGGTCTGCTTTGGAGGAATTCCCCCTTTGTGAAACTGGAGCCCCAAAAGGCATCGAGGGGGCATGAGGGTTAGGCTGGATGAAGGGGCGTCTGAGACCAGCAGAAGCCCACTTCTCTTTTCTGGCGGAGTCAGCATCACAGGTGTTAGTGAGCAACAATGCATGTGTGTGTTTGAGAGCGAGCGAGCCGTGTCCAATCAATGACACCCCGCATTGTGATCATCTATTGAGGGGGGCGAGACTGGTGCTCAAAGGTAAACACAACCAGGAATAAATTGTTCATAACCACGGAAGAGGCGTTGGTTGGAGATGAGGAGGAAAGGAGTCAAAACATAGCATCTCCTTATGCTTTGCTCAATACTTTTGTTTTCTCAGTAACTGTGTGCAAAAAACAAAAGTGAGGTAGAGAAATTTTGGCAGCAATTCCTCCCTGTGACTGTTTCTAGGTAAAAGACTTTTTCCCGCTTGTCCATGTTCACACTGGACTCCCCCATTTTCACTCCCACATAGCCTCCAGAGACAGAAAAAAATGTAGATTAAATCTTTTTTTCTTGGTTCATAACTTCTCCACAGTTAATCAACAGGCCTAGCAGGGTGCTGCATTTTTGGGATATTTCCCATGAATTATGAGCAGCCTATCAGTCCGCCAGCTGTACCGTGGAATTTTAGTATTCAGAGATGCTATTATTCTTATATGAATACATCTCTCTCCAGTTGTCACAATGATTTTACTTCTGTATGTGTGGACGCTCAGAACAAAGGGACATCGTGTAAAGCAGCCCTGGCGCCCCTTTCCCTCTTCAGAGCGATTCAGTGTGGCAAAATGGTCTAAATCAACAACCCCATGCAGCAAACTCATCTGGTACCACACAGGCTTCTTGACAGGTGGGCAGCTCTCTAACCAGTCCTCATTTGCCCCCCCGATGAGCGACGAAGGTGCAACAAAAAGGAAGGTGCTTAAATAAGAAGTTGAAGAAAGTGGTGAGGATGTAGAAGTTTTGCGAAGACCTCATGTTACACTGCTTTGTTGGTGTAACATGACGACACGTTACTGTTGCACAGTTGTACTTTTGGTGCCTTTGTGGATAAAACATATAAACCGTTTAAGAATCCAGATGTAGAACGGAGACGGGCATGAGTTTCTTCATACAAGCTCTTTTAACAAGTTTCAGAAGAAGCTTTAAAGCCAGAAAATGGATCACCAACGTTGTGCCTCAACGTTGGTGATTTTAAACAAATATAGATTTGATAGTTGATTTTGATTATATATAAGACGCGCTGAGAGGGGCTTCCTCCTGAGGATGCTGGAGATGAGACGTATGTATGTATGTATGTATGTATGTATGTATGTATGTATGTATGTATGTATGTATGTATGTATGTATGTATGTATGTATGTATGTATGTATGTATGTATGTATGACGTGATTGTTAGAAAATATAATTTGGCACAGGGAGAACTTTCAAACTTCTTGCAAAAAGACTAAGTTCAATTCAGTGCTGCTAATTCATAATTTATACAACGAACAGATTATGGTGGCTATCATGGTATACTTTGGCACAATGTCAATGTTTGTCTAATTTAAGCTGCAACAAATTGCTGGTTTCTGGAAAATGAAGCACTTATATAAGCAAAGCTGTCCTTCAACAGGTCCAGTACCACAACATCCCACTTCCGGCCTCCTGACATTCCACCGGTTTCGTCACCTTCTCTGTCATCATATGGTCATACACCCGTCATACACCCGTCCCCAGCCCTTCTAAAACCTCCTAACATCAGTTTCCATAGCAAGCAGAGCTTGTTATAAAAATATCCTATCTGGATGAGATGAAATTGTTCCTTCTGGCCTTTAATCATCGATTAGGATGATTGTAACCGCGGTAGAGGCCCACTTTAAGTAGTTCTGATGACAGACACAAAAGTTGAAATTGAGAAAATACAATATCAAAACTTACACAGGAAAACCTCACAAAATGCAAGCATTTTTACAACAAAATCTCAGCCACTCACCTCCAGTTCAAAGTTAATTGATACTTTGTGTTTCCCATCCTGTAAAAGCCTCTTCATGAGCTGATAGACATTGGCAAAGAAAATGTTTCTATAAAAGTGGAGGAGAAGAGGCTTTGTTTCTCTTAAAGATGTAAAGGAGACCATATTCCTACATCAAGGGTATTTTACATCCAATTTCCATTGGAATCATTATCCTAAGATAATTGGACCACTGATTGAATATTGGCAAGGTGTGTAACCTCGATGGTTGTGTCAAAACCCAGACCTGCTTGGTCTGGTTTACATTACCCTAAATAAGTGCAAGGGAAAGTTAATTGCCATAATGGAGATGCATTTAAATGTGAGTCATTTCTGAAGCGATGTAGCTGGTAAAAGAACTGGCTTGTACAATGGATAGAAGAGTCGGCTCACTTTTGACCACATGTACAATCTTCTCCTGATCTTCTTCGGTTTGGTGATCTGTGTCAAGTAGGTAAGGAGTCGTGTCGATACCTTCTGCTGTAGACATGTTTTCTTCCTTAGGCTCCTGATTTTTTTTTTTCATTTGTGGCCTAACTGGAACATCGGAAGGGAGGGTGAGAAACATCGACTAGTACTGCTACTATTTTAGTAGTGTTAGCTAATAAAACATCCTAGATAACAGGCCCGTTAACTGTGGCGTACGTCTGCAACCAGACTCGGTGGGAAACTTTCTTAAAAGCTAAAAATGTCTTTGAACTGATCCTGTAAAGTTTGTGAGTGGCAATCGTTTAGGGAAATTCTCGGGAGACAGAGCAACTCATTCTCCAACTGGTTCAGTCAGCTCTGCAGGCTTACCGAAGGATTTAGAAAATCTAGACATCCAACGTAAAATGTCCCAAGTCTGTTTACAATAATGCGCCTTGTCTTAAAACGATAAGCCTCGTGAACTTGAATCTATCTCGACTTGTTCCAGCATGTTTCCAAATCTTTCGGAATAAAAATCCAAGGCGTGATTTGCATCCAGCCTCTTTCACTCTAATATCCTAATGTGCAATCAACCACTTGGCTCTGATTTAATTTCAGTTTAAATCCAGGTGTTTACTAACAGGTTTGCTGGCGAGCATTATTAAGCATTATGAACATTATCTCCACCGGACTAGTGGCAGAGACAGTTAGCAAACACCTGGTGGACCACATGTACGCATCTGCACATATGCTGAGCTTCTCATGCAAACTACAACGCTCTTAAAACCAGATGTAAACGGCTTCATTGGAAAAGCATTGTAGTGATTGTGTGCTGTCAAAAAGGGCAGGAAATACCTAATACACCCCTTTAAAGCCAGTCACACAGTCATGGAGAGGAAACAACAAATGTGGAAAAATGTGTGCTGATCAATTGAGAGCAAAAATTTACTTTTTGGATTATATACAGAAACTTAAACTGGATATCAGGCTGAACTCATGGTGATGCACTCTTCACATCTGGTCAGAGTTGATGGGAAGAAGATGGAGGGAGCAAAGTACAAGAGAATCCTGGAAGAAGACTTGAATTGAGACTTGGGGCAGAGGCTCCTCCCAGCAGGTCCAGGACCCTGAATAACTTAAACATAATCCAGAGCCAATCAATCACATCCAACCTGACTGAGCTTTAACAATTTTGCAAAAAAAAAAAAAAGTGTCAAAACATTTGGAAAGTTTTCAAATGTGCAAATTTAGTTGATATTGCACTGCAGTAAAACGTGGTTCCAACATATAACATAACATATGTTAACAAGCGTCAACTCAAGAGGTTTTGAAGACATATTCACGCCACACTATTCAGATTTTTATAAATCGTGATCGTGTATCACACAGTAACTCGAATCGATTCAAGCTGCGGCATGTGAAAGTATTTATCGTTTTGCAAGACACTCTGCGCCTCTTCGCTTCCGGTCGCTTCATCGCACGTCTTTGCTTCTTTTGCCGACATGCGCAGGTGAGAAATGTGAAATGTTCACCAGTCCTTCAGAAGTTTCTCAGGCGACGCGTTCCGCCTTCCACCCACCGGATTAAAACAAAAACAAAAAAACTCACCGACACCACCGCCACACCTTCAACACACGCCCTCTCACACCGGCGCGCGCGTACGTATACACCGCAGCTGAAAGTGGCACGCGCGCTCGCGCACACACACATTCCAGCGGGCGGAGTCGAGAACGCGCGCAGAGGCCGTTTGTGAATGAGCCGCAGAGCAGCAGCAGCAGCAGCAGCCCTCAGAGCGAGCTGAGTCCCAGCCAGGCGACGGGAGCGGAGCTGAGAGGGGAAAGAAAAGTTTTTCCAAATGGATTTCCTCGGTAGAGTCAAACATTTGCTGTTCTCATATGTACTCATTAACGGGATATTGGTCACCCTCCAGGCCAAAGAAGGTAAGAGGACCGCTCGAGAACAGCGAAGCTTTTCAAAATAACAGCTTTGGGAAAACGCGCGTGCCATGCGGGGAGTCTCCTTGCGAGAAGTTAAAAAAAAATTAAAAAGCAGGAAATATTTTCCCTTCACTTTTGCAACTGCATGAAAGTTTCACAAACTTTGATTTGAACTTCGAAAAGAACAACCTTACAAGTGTTGTAGCTTGTCGCTTATCAGTCTGCAGTCTATTATGCCTAAGTGAATTGCGACTCTGCTTGTGCGCTCCTATAACTTTGTAGCAGCAGCAGGTGGGGAGCTTCTGCTGCGGAGTTAGCCGAGCTTCATATGCTCTTGATCTTGCCTTATTCACCCAAAGGCATCCCGTCTGAATGCATCCGATGTTGCCTTATTTTTCAACTTCCCGCATCTTTTGTAACGGGGGTCAAAGTTTGTCAACAACACAGAACACAGATTTCAAGCAAAAAATAAAAAACAAATAAACACTGTTGTAAGTTTTGCAAGTGTTTTTGATAATTGATCTTGTGTCTCCACAGAGGTGCTTTTGGATATGAAGGCAGCTGGAGGAGAGCTGGGCTGGCTGACTTGGTCCCCGAACCAGGGAGACAGATCTGGGGTGAGTATGGTGCTCTTCGCTTCTCCTCCAGCTCCCACGTTTCCAGCTGTAGGAATTTGCCAGAGGATAGATCCGAGTGGAGAAAACTTGCAAGGGACTCACTCAGCTGCACAGAGAACATTTGACATAATTCTCTTGAACTTGTTCCCTGTGTATATATATATGTGTGTGTGTGTGTGTGTGTGTACACATGTGGGTTTCCTTTAAAATCTGCCAGTTTAAGCCGTCTTGAGCTGGGATAGACGAGGCAGTCAAGGTACCCTATCAGGAGCTGCCTCCAGAGCAAGTCTGGGCTGCTCCAAATCACATATAGGCGGATAGAATAGCTGCTCCCTCTGAACTGGGAATACTTGTGGCTTCTTGTGGTTTCGAGGCTCCAGCTTCAGAATTGTATGTTAGAGAGCAATTAAGTTTTAAAGTTTGCAGCATGTGGTACCTCTTTGCCGAGAGGAGGGGCCTCAGACGGAGCGAGTCAAGCCAGGGCTACCTTTTTCCTTACAGCAGGGGAAAATGTCTACATTTAGGGATGAATCTCTAATGCTGCGGTTGTCTCTTACCATGAGCAGAGCAGAGACATGTGTTGCCTTCTTCCATCATGTGGTTGCAGAATAATTGACCGGTCAGGCAAATGCAGATTCACTGTAAATAGCCTCATTTCATGTGCTGATGACTCAAGAGCATGTGCAGGCACGCCGCTCGGTGGTTCGCTCGACTTTCTCAGAGATGTGTAGCAGCTCCAATGCTCCCTCTGACACATTAGTTTCACTTTTTTCCCTCACTAATACGTTTCAGATGTTTGCCGGATTATTTCGAGTTAGCCTTACGGGCCGGTTGCAATAAAAGGACGGGTGGGGGGGGGGGAATGTTCCACCAGGTTGTTAGCAGAGGTGTACATTTTGCTGTTGTTCATCAAGTTTATATGCAGACCCACACACTTCGCCAGCAAAGCACATTCCTTTAATTAATAGCACAGTGGCTGCATGCAGAGAGCCAACCGCAGCTTCTGCCTCCATGGGGGCCGTTTGTTTCTCATGAGCCAAGGTTAGAAGTTGCTGTCACTTTTTCTCAAACATATTTGTGGCAACATCCAGTTTTCATGCAGCAATGCTGCCTGGGAACCCTGCCAATGAGTGTGAGAGAGACTGAATGGGAAATAATTTTGTCTCCTCGCAATGTCAGAAATGCATTGTCAACCAAGTCCTTTGTGTTCGTGATAGTTTTAGGCTTTGGAGATTTAGAAAATGGATGTCTATGTCTAAAAAGAAATGCTGTATTGATGTAAAAGTCTGTATTTACCCTCGTGAAAAGCCACAAAGTTCTCTGCACACACTTTGTTTTTGTTTCCTGCTTCAGATTACAGTGGCCGAACCCTCTTGGTTAAATGGTCACTCCTTTATTTAGCTATCCTCTTAGTTTTGGTTCAGCCCCACATGGTTAGACGCAATCCAGCCTTGCTACCTCTAACCTTCTTCGGTTTTTGTGGTTCTGTTTCAGTGGGAGGTCACCCAGAAAACCCTGAATGGCTCTCAGTTTTATACCTACTCCATATGCAACGTCGAGGAGCGCGAGCAGGACAACTGGCTGCGCACCACCTTCATCCAGAGGCGCCCCTCCGTCTCTCAGGTCTTTGTGGAGCTTGAGTTCATTGTGCGCGACTGCAACTCGTTTGACGGAGCCTCGTTGACCTGCAAGGAGACCTTCAACCTCTATTCGAGCGATGCGAATGCAGACGTGGGCACGGCCTTCCGTAAAAGCCAGTTCAAGAAGGTTGCCACCGTCGCTCCAGATGAGATAACGAAGAAAAATGACATGCGCATCAACACGGAAACGAAAGTTGTGCAAAGCTTGTCCCAGAAGGGTTTCTACTTGGCCTTCCAAGACATCGGAGCCTGCATCGCTCTCCTCTCTGTCAGGGTGTACTACAAGGCTTGCCCAGCCACAACAAAGAGCCTCGCTTCGTTCCCCGAGACGGTAGCTGGAGGTCTCAACCAGCAGCTCAAGAAGGTCACTGGGGAATGCGTGGACAATGCTTACAGCGAGGATTTACCTCACATCTACTGCACTGCGGACGGAGAGTGGGTGGTTCCAGTCGGACAGTGCCAGTGCAATGCAGGATTCGAAGAGGTCGAAGACGTCTGTCAGGGTAAGTCAATGGCTTTGAAGCGTTTTAAATCGCCTCCAGTTTTGTTACCTTTTGTTCCCATAGACACAGACAACTGGTGATGTTTTGGATCAAAAGTTCTCCAGACTTTTTAAAAGTATGTATCCTGAGGGCTTTCTTGTTTTTCTTGCTCTCTCTGGTCCAAACCTGTCCAAGCATCCTTGTGCAGTGGACAGTGGAGGATAAAAGAAGAGCCGTGTTTGAGAAATATTCTACTACAATCTGAAAGTGTCTTAAAAACAGACAGAAACCAGTTAAGACCTAAAATATACCTCGTGCTTTAGTTTTCTGTTTTGAGAAAAGGGATTCTTGACACTAAATCAACATCTGTAACACTGAGCTATCTTTGGTAATTCTTGTCAAATTGAGCTGAACAAAAAAAAAACAAAAAAAAAACCCAGAAACAAACTGTGTCTTCGGGACAAACTTTTACTTTGTTTTTGAAGAGACATAGAAAATATAACTTTTCCTTCCACATGTACAGTGTGAATGTGTGGTTATAAAGTTTATAAAGGTGCTTACAGGGTAGTGAGGTTGACCAGAAAGGTAAAAAAAAAAAAAGCCTGACTTTCAGATTTTTAAGGCCAAATTTGGATGGAACAACAAAAAATGTCCAATGTCCATGGACTTCTCTGGGTTCAATAAAGACAACGAGTCGCCAACCTAAAATTAAGACAAGTCCATGGACATCCGGTATTTAGAAGGTTTGTAATAAAGTTGCTTATTTAAATACCTGATTTCTCTACTAAACCATCTGTTTTTTTTAAGCGTAGGAGCTTCTTGGGGTGAAACGATTCATACATCCCAGCCAAGTTGCAAAAAACGTTTCTTTAAAAACTGTCTGGCATTGGACTTGAAATGACTTCAGAAAAAAATCCAAGTACAAAGTACAACTCTGAAATACTTTAGAAAAACTCCACCAACTACTCATCAAGATCATCAGACAAGATTACAAGATGGCGTGGCTCCTTTGTAGGAGTCATTCTTCACGACAGGAAGAATGACTCAGGACTTTGATCTGTACTGTACGTTATCTTGTCCTGGCAAATTCAATGCACTTCCATTTTACTGTGTTTTTTTTTTTCAAAGCTCAATTTATCTTTGCTTTAATTACCTGGGGTTATAAAACATACCTGTATGACAAATATTTATCATGGGTGCTACGATATCTCAGTGGAATTCTGCCCTCGGCTGACACTAGCTGCCCCCGCAGTGGGAAGAATGCCTTCTTCAACATGTCCTGGCGTAATCCCTGAACCGAAACTGATACGAGTAGGAAATGTGCATTTACCTTTGGGCTTTGGCTCCAATTAGCTGTTCTCTTTTAACAGTTTGCAGAAGCAAATTGCAAATGTTGGCCTTTGGTGTTACAATGGATGCTGGACAGCATGCTGAAAAATGAAGCCTAGACCTACATTTTTTTCGGCCCATCGCTGCGTTGTGCGTTTCGGCTGCAGCCTGTTAGTGTCAGATCGCTCCCTGTCATGGCCAATCAATGAGGCAGCCTCCATTTTTAACGGCTGCATCTGCTCACCAGCAGAGCTTCAACCCACCTCCGCCCCGTCTCCACCTCTCGTTCTTCCGGCTCCTTCAAACTTCCATCCTCCCATTCGAACGTCAAAAACCTTAATTCATTCGTGTCAAATAAAAACTTCTAATTGCAGCTTTTTGGCTGTATGTCTCCACGTTGAAATAACAAAAAGTTGGAGGGGACAGAAAATAAAACTACGATTGATTATTCTTACAATATTATTAGAAAACATTTTTGTAATTTTGTCTTTTTTTCTTGATCAACAGTTAAGGTAATAAATATTCTTATTTCTGGCAGATTTGGATGTAAGCTCATTTTCATTCAACCAAGAAGTTTGTTTTTTGTAGAAAATGAGAGAGGCATCATGTTAACTACCACAATGTAAAGAAAACAGAAATTTTATTTAAAAAATTTTATTAAAAAATGTATCATCCCCACAATAAACACTGAAAAATTGTTTTATAGTCAAACCATTTTTGTAATTTCTGCCCAGCTTTTCACTGGAACTATTAATTTTGGACTTTACTGTATTTGGTGTTATTTGTACTACCTGCATTTATGCCAAAAAGATTTTTCAGTGTAATTCCTATGTACAATTTATTCCTAAATTTTGTTTAGGGAAATATCTAAGAGCTTGTGCTTTCAACTAGGGGTGCACTGATTTTAATTGCCACAGATTTTCAGTGATCGGCCGAAACCTGTATTTTATCCACGATCTAATTTTCCTCGGCAAAGGTCTGGAAATCTTCTGCTCTCCGGTGAGTGAGGTCTGAATGAGAGACCGGCTCCTGGGCTCATGTCTGCACATTTGCAGTTCGCAACACACCACTGTTGCCAACTCGACAACTTTCTTTCTATGTTTAGCAACACTTCAGACCAAAAAAGAAAAAGGTATCGGCCAAAATCGGCATCAGGCTCGGTAATCGCCTAAAAACCGCAATCGGTTCGTCTCTGTTTTTAACAAAAATAACTTAATTTGCTTTCAAATTATCTGACACAAACAAAACTCGATATTTTATGTGAACACAAAAAGGTCCGCAGAGTTTTTGCTCAGCAGCGTCATGCTCGGCTTATCGGTTACATATCCTGAACCCTGGTAAATGAGTGTCTTATTCTTTGACATCTCTCGGTGCATAATTTAGAGCTTATTGCACCAGGTGATTTCCTGTTCTCTCGGTATCGTCTGCTCCCTTATCTCGACATGAGCTGGCTTTGGAAGAGCAGCCATAACTCAGGCCTTTGACTTTGTTCTGTTGTCACAGTTGCGCTTTACTGACTGTAAAGGAGACCTTTATTGTAGCGAGGGAATACGGCTGATCAAAGAAGCAAAGGGGTGGGGGGTTACTGTACGGTGATGGATTAGCATCTTCAAGGCGGATGGGAGGAAAAAGAGGGAGGAGGCCGGGTGAAGCTGCCGAGCCTCACTGACTGCTCATGACATGCAGACCCAATCTGAGCCCTGTCCTGCCGGCTGCAGCTATCTCTTTATCCCCCAACCCACCGTCGCTCCCCCTTTGTTTTCCCAAACGCACCGGAGCTACAGCTTTTGGTGTGTGTGTGTGTGTGTGTGTGAGAGAGAGCGCGGCGTGTGAGGGCCTGTTGAGATCTGCTCCACGACAAAGCACACAAAGCCATCCCGTCAACCCCATGCGATGTTCCTCCTTCAGTCTGTTCTGTTTACTCCATAGACATTTGTACGACTTGAAAATAGAAATATCTTTTAATCATCGCCTTAGAAAATAAATGAGCGCATGCACGTCTTGACGGCGGCAGGTATAAAAAACGTCCCTGCTGGCGTGTCCGCTCTCCTACTCAGATTTAAACTGGACAGGAAAGCTGAGGTTTTCTGCCGGTGGGTCATTTTTTTTCTCCATTTTTTTTTTTTTTTTTTGTAGCTGCGAAAGAAAAGCCAGGTGAGATGATTGGGGAGGACGGCAGGAAGGAATGAGAGGGAGAAAAAAAGCGAGGGCTTGTGTTTAGAGGAGAGGTGTGATTTTTTTTTTTCTTTTTAAGCGGAGAGAGGTGAGGAGCAGAATGCAAAGGTAGGAGAACAATGAAGTGCTGTGTTTCCCCGCGACGCCGACAGATTCCACCTCCTCTCCCCCACTTTACTGGTACATTCCTGATCAGTTTGCTGAGACGGAGCCTCCCAACATTACTCCAGACCTGTGGAATTCCCAGTGAACGCTGGCGGTGATGGAAGGAGAGGGGGGTGGCGTGGTGAGGGAGAACAGGTCCGGGTCAAGCCCTCACATTAAAATGACTAAACAAACAGAATCCCTCTGACCCTCACCCCCACAAAAAAAAAAAAAAAAAAAAAAAAAAAAAAAAAAAAAAATCAAACACACACACACATTAGGAAGATCCCTGGCGACAGGTCCGAGATGCATGAGGACACGCGTGGATTTAGATGGAAATGAATCACAGCGCTGCAGCGCGGAGCCAGGATGAATGGTTCCGAGGGCTTAAAGAGGAATATCCTACAGACACGTAGTTAATCATTTCCCCCCGCTTCTTTCCTGAACGGATGGCTGCTCTGGGGTAAAACAACCACCAAAACTTCCACTGCGGTGTTTCTTTTTCTCTCTTCTCCATATTTAGGTTGAAATTTTCCATGTTCGGCCATGTTTTCACTCAGTTTTATAACTCCTCTTCCTCGTGGGACCAGTTAAAGTAAAGATCTGTGACTTCATCTGGTTTCTGTCTCCATCTCCTCTTTGGTGCAGCAGTAGTTCTGACGGAAGGATCTCGTGCCTCTCAGAGCTTCTTTCTAGGATATTATTTCTGTCCCCCCCTTAAACGTTTTTGCTTAAGTGCAGATTGTTGTTTGAAACTGTCTTTCCTGCTGTTCACAAAGACACACACCCAACGACACGCTGTTGTCATTGGGTGAAAAGTCAAAAAAGATAAAACACTTGCTCCGCTGTGCAGACATGCAAGAGCTTTGCAGGCTGTAAATCATAAACGAGTGGAAGTAGCAGGACAAAACTGGACCTTTTGTTCTCTGTGACATTATTACAGATGGTGTTCTTTATATATTCTTATGCAGAGCCACGATACTCATGTGACTGATGGAGAAACTTAAACAGCCTGTAATTACAGCATCTTGCAAAATTATCTCTTAAGTTTTGTCACATCACGTTGCATCACATTCGAAATTTATGGAAAAGGAAGAAAGAACATGTACGGCGCAGTCTAGTGACAGAAACGGTTCCTCGCATCATCAGTTCTGCACAAATTATACTGTAGAAAACATAATAAATGGCTAGAAGTAGCTTTTTTTAATTGCACGTTAAAAATGTCTAAGTTCCATAACATCTTGGTTAAGAAAGACTGGTGGCTCTGGAGTGGCAGGTCAGACTGTGCCAAAACAAAACAAAGCAGTGAGTTATTAAGAGACAGAACATTGTTTTAAACATTTGCCCCACACAAAATGGTGTGTTTATGTGTC